TTTATTCTCTTTCAAACGAGACATAAATGTGACGACATAGTCGATCCCTTATCCACCGCTAAGAATGCCGCAATGTTTCGTTCGTTTTGCAACATGCCACAAATCGTCGAAAAAAACACCACTTCGACGGAAGCTTGCGTAATAAGGGGGTTAAAACAAGAAAACAAATGCCATGTTTAATACATATCGACCTGTTTTACTTGCGAAAGATAACGGAACATGAACTCGTTTCGTGCGACTTCGGAACCCGAAGGAACACACCAACAACGTTGAATTTACCCGCTATCTTCCAAATATGGTATATTAATTTATTCAGTTGTTTATTTAGAGTGACGTCCGCGGTGAATGCGATTGGCTATCGATGTCAGTGCAAAGGTCATATGAATATTAAAATTAAGTGGGCGGAAGGAAAATTGTATAGGAGACAAGCTGGAGTCTCGTGTGGCGATAGCGATAACACCGGGACGAATGGTTTGGGGTACACGTCATTGGGAAACAAGTATAACTAGTTGCGTCAAGAAAACATTTCTGTCCATCAGTAATGCGTCATATTTTGTTTACTATATTTTAAATGAAAATTGCTACACAAACAAAATTGATCTTGAACAAGATTGATTATACCCTTTTACTTCCTTTTTAACTTTTTTGATGCAATGCATTAGTTTTTTCCATGAATTCCCCATTTTTTTCTAACTTAGTTACTATTGTTTAAAATACCTTGAATAAACACAGTTAAATGTCATTTTGAGCTTTGCTTGAAAAAACACGACTGTAATGCATGGCGCCCTTTGGAGACCAGGACGTAACCCAACAGCCATTTTTTTTTTTACTGCCCCCCCCCCCCATTTACAAATCCTCTATTCTAAAAAATTTACTTGTTAGCATGTGGGAAAATGATGGGGTTAATCTGAAAAACCATTGTCAGTTATTGTTTGTGATTGGTTCTGGCAATCTCTTGTGCAACATTTCACCATCAGCAGTGTTATAATTTTGGCACTTTCAATCAAAACAACCACTTTCAAATGGAATTTATGGATTTAGATGAAGTCGGATTTAAAGCAAAAGAATTGCGGGAAATATGAAAATGGTGAATCACTGAATCCTACGAGCATTCTTTGAACGCCTCAAATCAAAGTGCATTATTATTTGATTATAAGCATATGGATGCATTTCAAAGTTGAGCTCCTCTATCAAACATAGAACTTTACCGTAGAATATTACCGTACTCAACCACGTTAAGAGCCCATCCTCAGCTAAGAGCCCATCCCCCACTTTTGGGACATTTCTATTTTCGATTCATGTTCGGCTAAGCACCCATCCCCTTCAATATGTCCCTAATTTGACTGTCTAATCATAAAACTTGATCTCTGATCATTGTTTAACTTTTCTGAATACTGGTAATCGTTTCTATATGATACAGCATAGATATCAACTGCCATGAATATTACGTGAATGCGTAAACGCTTCGACAATGACCTGTTAATGAAAGTGAAATGCAGTATATACTGCATGCCATATTCAGTTTACCTATAAAATATTGCTGTAACCATTTTTTTTAAAAAAAATCATGCCATTTATTCACCAAAATCAATTGCAAGAGATCGTACTGAGACATCGATAATTCACTTCTGCATTGCATTACCAGAAAGTGTTTGGGAATTTCTGAAGAATTGCATCCGTACAACACAGCATTCTGATTGGTTAATAACAGACTTGACCCATTAGGTCAAAGGACGTTGTGCAGGTCAAATTGTGGTCAAAACATTATGGTGGAAAGTGCTTTTCATTGAGAGTTTGTGTACGATCCAACACATTCAACAATGAAGATAATGATGAATATTTTGACTTTGGCTGTGGCTGTGTTTTAACCTTGTAAATTCGGGTAGTGCATGATTAATATTGGAATACAATGTATGTTTCTTTTGTGACCATTTCTGTTTCTTCATTGTATAAGTCAATGACAACACAATAATTTTATTTTCCCCAAAAGTCGTAAGGGACGACGTCAAAAGATCGATGTTGGATAAAAAACTTATTTCCTTTAGTTTGGGGGTGGGGGGTTTTGACCTCAAAAAGTTTCCATCCTACAAAAACGATTTTATTTTTTAATGAAGTCAAAAAAATCTTGGAGTATTTGTAGTTCTATCCAATCATGGACACAAATAACCGAAACGGGAAAAAAACAGAAAAATGGTTTGGTTCGGGTGTAAATCTGTGCGTCAAATGAGGTGCATTTGTAAACTCTCTTTACACCCACCCGACAACCAACTGCTATGCAATACTACTGTCCGATTATCAATTTGTATTTAATAGTGAATGTAGTCTGACGCCATGACCAATATTTATCAATTAAGTTTCAGTGGGGGGTAGGGGGGTTTGAAAAAAAACTAAAGGAATTAAGTTTTTTATCCGACGTCGATCTTTTGACGTCGTCCCTAATATCCCCTCAATCTGTCACATGGTGAACTAAAATTTTCATTTGTTCTCTTTTCTGAAAGGGGTAAGCGCCCACCCCTAAAAAACCATGAGGACACTTTGCGCTATCGCGGTCGAGTTCGGTATATGCAACAGTTGTAGAAAGAGTTGAAACAAACAAGTCTGACAATGTTACTAGGAATATTACAACCTTGCAAGAGAAATTGATAGAAAGATGAGAAATGCAACACTCCCTAAACAAAGTGATTTGACCTTACCAGTTCATTTAACAATCTTGAGACACATAGCAAACCATTCAGAAATGTAGCTGGCAATAACGCTGTTTTGAAGTTCACAACAATATGGTGGTGACAGTATATACAACATCAATTCAGTCACTCCACATTTGAAGTTCAATCTGTGGTAGAATTTAAATATCTAACTCACCTGGCTTGTCATACTCTTTTCACTGCCATCGGATTCACAGGATTCTAGAATAATAAACAAACAAATTGTAACTAAACTTTATTACAGCCAGAGTCAGAAGTATTGAAGCAGCCAATTCGCTAACTGCTTGGGTTTTAATTGAGCAGTTGGCTTTAGAATCTTGCTGGCGCTGTCCTGTGGTCATGCCCACTCTGGGTGAATCTATATAACAGTCGGGAACGGTCGTCATACTTTAGTTCAAATATACCAGGGAAAGTGTTTCTTCGTGTAATGAGGTGTTCGTATACAAGGGATTGATTGTCCACGCAAAAACGATGAATGAAGTCGAATTTTATTAGCGGTTGGTTTAAATGTTGCTACAACAAATCGTTTGGAAGTGAGCATTTATTTTCTCCCTGATTTATAGGAAACTTTTTCTCAACTTGTCTCTTTATTTAGTTTCAATCAGTGTTCAAGACGGTTACTCTCATATAGTAAATATCGGTGGATTAATCGCATTTATCATTTTATCACTTGTACGCCAGCCGACTGCGGCCATTCTCAGGCTGACCAGGGAAACTACTTTCACATTATCACGCCTCGCAAAGCAAGTCATTCAGGGGAATCCAGACATGTATCACTGAGGCTACATAAAAATATTCTATGTTCCCTTATGCAATATAGACTTGCCCAGAGTGGACGCGACCACGAGTCGGCACCAGCGAGATTCGAAAGCCAAATATTTAGTCACAACCAAAGCAGTTAGCCAATTCACTAACAAGTTTGCAAATTGGCTGCCCCAATACTTCTGAGACTTGCTGTAACTCCATTAGTAGTGCAAGCACTTGTGTACATGCCTCCCTGTTGATAAATTGATCATATTTTATGACGACTATGATTTTATGAGATACAGGTGTAATACAGCAGATATGCAAATGACTTTCACTTCAAGTATAGTCTATTGTAAAGGCACTAAAGATTCACTGAATTTTGATATATTTTTAATGTGTATTGATAAGTAAAATCTGCTAAATTAAATCTACATTAACATGTAAAATAACAATATAACTCATTGTTTTCTTGGCGAATTCCAGTGAATACGCTCAAAATAGTGAAATTAAATGCAAGTGAAAATAAATGGTTCCCCAACATCCATTGACAAGTACATGAGATCTTTGTACTCCTCTGGTTATAAAGCTGCAAATCTATTGCCAGCATTACACAACAGTATTTTATAGCTGCTCCTCTCAACAATTACCAGGATATTATTTATCATGTGTTTATACGCTTGTTGTTTAATTTGGTGAGAAGTTTGGCTGAGCTGGAATAGCACCCTTGACATAGAGTTGCTGTTCTCACAGTCATGGTCATTTTTTTTGCTGTTGGGCTAAGACAAAATGCTGTAGTATAAATGAGGTATATGTCTGTGAATCAACGTATATAATATATCTTACCATCTTGTTTCAACTTTTTTAGCTGTGATTCTTTAATGATATCAGCCAACTTCTTTTTTTTCTTCTTCTGTTTACTGAATTGAAACAATTTCTCCGTAAATTTAATAATATGTTATGTCAGGGACACCAACACTAACAGTTTTTTTTTTACCAATTAGTCATACATATAGAAGTTTACAAAAACTGATAACTGGTAAAAAACAAACATTTGGCAAATTTAGGTGACAGCACATCTGAATTGAATTTTTTAATTGAACCAGAGTATCTTTTCGACATTAAACTGGATTATACAGTCCAATTGACTAATTAATACACATGAAAATTATATAAGGCAAGAAAAAAATGAAAACAATGCTGGTGAAAAGAAAGAGAATGACAGACTTGAAAGCTAGCAAAATGTGACACTCAAACAAAAAAATGTAAGATATATAGTTTTGTTTATAGTAATATAGTTGAAACGTAAACAGAAATATGGATAAGCTAATGTTCGATTATGAAGATTTTTTAACATTTTAAAACTAGTAGCATCGCGATGAGAGGCTTTCACGAAGATTGTTGCCAGTCGTTTGTTTGTTTTGTGTACATGGACTTTCGTGCAAAAATCAACAACGGTTAAATAGGTACATGTATATTATTTCCATTTTGTATTATATCGTATCCAGAACTTCCGTGTGCTGTTCTTTGTACTGTGTTTTCCGTCATAAATATTCGATTGTTTGGAAACATAAGATAGTATTGTGAATTTTGTTTATCAATGCTGCATGATGACGCTACCTTCAAGGCCATCCTGTGATTCCGAGTCCCATGTTGACTATGTCCCGACCGTTTATTTACTTACTTGTCAGTGTCTGGTATACAAAAATGCGACTAGGAAAACATCGGTAAAATAATATAGCAGTACATTGACGTGAACATTGCTAAAACGTAAGACGCACGAACATGAAGCTCATTTTGAGTAGAGGACATCAAAACATGTTGAACATGTTCTATATTAACCAAAACAGCGGGTTATGTTCCTGGCTAACAACAAACTTGAAACAAAAGAAAGATGATTGTATAGAACAGAAAAAGTACTTTTCTCATTATCAAAAAAAACAACACATTTTGTGCAATAACTTCAACTGCAATTTGCATTCTAAAATCTTGTCACTCACCATGTTTTCTTTTATACATCCGTAGCTATAGTCATGTATAAAAATATTAATCTTTTTAGAATGTTCAATCAAACTACAAACTACAAAGGTTTGACTCACATTTTCTCTGCTGCCTCTTTCTGTAATGTATCTTGATAATCTCTAGTTTCTGGCGTGTCCTTCAAAACATAGTCCTCCGGTGCCCAGCGATCCCAGCTACAAAAGACAACAAGAAATATGAGATACAAAGAAGATGCAGTGTTTGATTTCATAAACGTTATTTCACAGCATAGGCTGCGATATTCGCATCTTAGTCATAAGAAAATGCAACTGCCAAGTAAAGAGTGATTTATTATACGAAAGTTTATTTACTTTTACTACCTTCCCATCTTTTTTACCACCTGCATTTTATTTTCTAGATTTGCAAAATGTTTAGAAACCAAAATAATAATCAGCATTCGGTTTATAACATTTTTGAGTCAAACAAATTTGATCAACTCAAATAAATGAGTTATTTTTTTGATAAATATTATGTCAAATGTACGAGTTGGTGATCCATAACCAAGAAATCCAACCTCTATATAAAGACCACATGTATATAAAGAGTTTAAGACCATTACAAGTCGCATGGATGGTCACTATACACAGGTTTGACTATACATGCATAATAAAGTTATTAATTAAAAAGGTACCACAAAGCAGTCTCTCTATCCTCTATATAGAGGGACTTATCACAAATTATGTACTTGGTTCACACCAATCTCTACTTTATGTTGGTCAATACATTTTTTGTACTGCATGCATGGTCTTTGCCCATACTTTAAGACATCCTCTTAATAATCTCTCATTATCTATAAATTCTTTTAGATTAGATTAGTCAGATTGTTTTCCTTTTGAAATGTTAAAATTAGTTTTTAGCTGGACAAATATATGAAGTATGTTTAGTGATTTATATCGAATATTTCAAATGTAGATTGGACTATTATGCGGAATACGACAAATTATTGGAAAGTTTACATTATCTTTCGTGACTACTTTCTTACCTGTTATTCCAGCCAAAGAAATGTATAAGATATTCTGGCACAGTCTTTCCCTTTTCATCTTTTGTCCAGTCAACCTCTAGTACCTAGTATTGAACATTCAAATAAGCCAGAGATTACAGTATATTATTATACATCTGTCACTGTAACGCCAGAAGTTACAGCATGCTGTAATTTTGCGGTATTTTATGAGGTATTTTCATCCTACCAAATATGGAATGATTACGCGCATAAGCGTCCTCTAATAATAAAAACAAACATGACTGCCACCAGAGTTTGACCCGACTCCACACAAAGAAGTTCACTGATTGTGTTCTAAACGTTTTGGCATTCCCATGACATATTCTTGGAATGAAATATGTATAATAATAAGATTATTAAGAGGATACCTCAAAGTATGCACTCAAGACAGTACGCCGCTGCATCAACCTCCACTGCATGTCGGTCAATACTCTTGCTGTATTGTCTTTGTGAATCTTCTGAGGTATCCTCATAATAACCTCATATTATTACACTTACCGTAGGTCAAGACATATAGGATTATACTTGACATATATTATTACATGCCAACAAATTATGCAAACACAATCATAACTTTTAATATTTGGTTTTTGTGTCGCCTTAAATAAACTTTCCAGATTACTGTTGATCACTGGTCATACGTCTGTACACTAGTGACAACAACTATATAGAATAGAATAGAATTTTATTTTGTAAGTAAAATCAAGCTTGAAAAAAACACATCATAGAATAACTGAATCAAGTTTGAACTGCATGTTGTTTACCTCACCTGATTAAATAGTTTCCATTGTGCTAATAGTATTTTGATATTTGATGTTTCAATAATGTACTTAAACTGTTTTTATTTCTGTTTTAAAATTCTAGATTGATTTTCTGTATCACATTATATTTCTATAGTGCATAACTAATAGTCCATAAGTTGATGTACCTAATCACTCATACCCGGAGTGGAAAGCCTTTCAAAATATAATCTGTCTACATGCATGTGTTGAGGGAAAGGGGACTTCTGTTGGAAATATTACGATTCGTCATATGGAATATGCGATCATAAAGTAAGGCATTGCATACTAGTACATGGCATTAGCAGTTTTCAAAATCCCAATACAAAAACAGAAACATAAGCAACATGAAAATTTGGGACGACTATTTGCAGAGTTACATGTATGATGAGTCTGCGATTTTCAATACACTAATATAAATTTTCAAGTGAACACTTTTTTCCACTTGCAATGATTTCATAAGTATGGTGATATCCTGAATGGGATATATTGTGGGATTGAGAACTCATGATGACCAAAGATAGCATTGCCGCTCCATTGCAGAATACGTTGACGGTGATAATATATGTACCAGCATGCTTGCTGAGTTACCAAATTAAAGTGGGAGGATCGTCACCTGCGCATGCACGGGATAACAACACCCTAAAAACGCAAAGACTCATGGGTAGACGCTTGTTTATAAACAATGACATGCTATGGCCATCTGACGCATGTGCAGGTGACGACTCCCCCTCTTTAAATTCAATTGTCAGCGATAAACACACAGGCTGTTTTCATTATATTTTATCATTTTCTGGTCTACCTCCACTACCCTACATTGACTTCCAATTATACCTGGCTTGAGAACACCTATATTTATCTTTAGAGGGGCACATACAATTGAATTGGGGGATGGAGGGGTAAGATTAGAGTTTAGGGTTGGTTAAGGGGTGTAGTACAATAAAAAGTATTTCTTGATTTTGAGGCGTAAAACCCCACATTTCTCGGTGTCCATTTTGCTTAGGGGGAACAATGATTACGGGTTGGACATGATTACATGTGCCCATAGACAAAACACGTTAGGTAATTGTGGACATACGACCTTTGTAGTATGCAGTCATGGTTAAATTATTAACACAAACGTTGCATGGGCGCATGATCACACGACCCAATAGCATTGCGTGTGTAAAGTGACACAGACACATGAATGCTTATTATGAGCCCTGGCGGTTAGACGCCATTGGGTCTGTACTGTGTCTAATCATAATAATAATGTCTGTAGCTCAGTTTAGTATCACACATTATATTACGTTAACATTACCTTCGAATCATATAACACCTTAGCCTTTGTTGGATCAGGTTCAAAACACAATACTTTTTCGCCAACAACAAACTGAGGTTTCACCTCCGGGGTTTTCAAGCCGCGGTTTGACATTGTAGAAATCAAGCTCAGCTGATTCGAAAAAGCGAGTTTGCCCGCTTGCCGTAAGAAAGTGTGTTTTGATTCGCGACACTCGCATAATAGGTGTTACGTTTCAGATCACTATAGGAAAGCTTCCAGTATATTAGTTATTCAGTTTTCGAAGTCAATCCGATAACACAAGTTACATACAAATACGAAAAATTCGTTCTTAGTGTTCCGTGATTCGAACATTATTGGTACCGTAAAACAGTAAGTTATTGGCTTAAGGGCCGGGGTAACTAATACAGTGCATATTTTATTGTTAAGTTATTTCTAATCGCCCATAGAACCACTAATTAATGTATTTGCATTGTCTTTGAACACAGTAGAGTTGGCAATATTGTTCCTGATATTTTTACACTAGTAGCTCTACTTCGCCGTTTGCCAGCGTCCTAACCAAGTAGCTCAACGTGATAGCGCCACCTATAGACCACACATTGGCTTTTCTACACTAGTTTTCATGTGCCATTATTTCTTCATGTCTCAATATTTTGCTCGGTAACATAGGAAGAATATATTATTAATATTAAAATATATATATTTAAAAAAAATAACAATAATATTTTTCTATGGGGAGTTTAGTTTCCCATTATAATTGTAATGTTGTAAGTTTCTCAAACAGTTTAAAACTTGGTACATGCATACTGTTTATGTAGTTGCACGACATGTTTTTTATGCATTTTAATTACATGATTTACATAAGTTCCCTGTGTATCTTAGCAACAGTTTGGCCAAATGCACTAAAACGTTTTTACTCGCTTGTATCATTTTGTAATCCATACAAGAACTGTTTTTAGGATATTTTATGACTAAAATATGCCTTCATCTATTAAACGTATACATTTTTGAACACCATGTATATCCTGCCCAATATGGGCCTATATTAAATATTTCTGTAGATACAGTATAGATATAGCATGGAAACAGTTGCTCAAATGTCAATTTTTGAACAAAATTGGTCATAAATAAGTCAGAGACAACAAAATGTAGAACAAATTGACACAGGTAAGTATACTATTATGATTCAATTTTGTACCATCTTTGACCAAAACCAGTCCAGGCATTTCTGAAAAAATTACATTGGACGCAACCCATAAAAATAATGTCCATATTTTGGGGGCATCCAACAAGGACGAAGAAAAACAAACTTGGAATATATTAAGAAATAAGCAAACAAGTTTATTCCATGTTTATCATTTGCGAAAATAAGCTTAAAGCAAATTATATTGCATGAATAATTTGTCAATCATGTCACAGCATACAACAAGATGAATCATAATCTTCCATTATTGATCTTGGCTGTACATCATTTATATGCAGATCAATAAGTGATCCATTAGATGTGCATCTCTTACAGAAGTGTACATAAACCAAAATCATTGCATTTATTTTAAAATATGGCTTTTAATTTTGACAGCAATAATACTTGTCATTTGCATAAACATGTATTCTATTAGAATATGTTATGTATACAAAGAAATCTTATGACAAGTACCAATGTTATCCTCATGAATTAAGCCAGCTATATCTAATTGACCTGGGTCATCATAGTGAGCATGTTTTATACCATTGTCCACCTTAGCACCAAATACACACACTGGTTGAATTGAAACTGATGTAAAATCTACATGAAATGTTTATGCAACTAAGCTAATTTTGTAACTGTTTCATTCACCTACAGCAGTTTTGCAAAGCAATGTTGTTTTCAAATCTGATAAAATATCCACTGGCTTCCTGAAAGCAACATTACTTCCAACACAGCTGTGTCACCAAATTAGCAGACAATATTGCTGGCTAGCTGTACAAAACAAAATCATGGCCAGAGTAAATGTTTGAAATTCAAGGTTGTAGTAGAAATGTAAAAAAAAAATGCCTGCTGTCACAGCAAGTTATTCCACACCCTTTGGTCACTATTTTCTATTGCTCTTGAATATGACACTCATGCTTTTATTAAAACTTATTTTGCTCTCAAAGTTACTTTGTGTCTGGAGCTAGGGAACAGAAGGCAATAGTGACAAAGGTCTTTCACCATGTAGCCCAGTAGTTACTACCACATCAATTGAGTGGTATAGAAAACATTGACATTTTATGTCACACAATCCAAAAACAAAGCAAGGGATATATTCTGCAATATCACATCAAGTCAAATCCATTGCAAAAAAATTACTCATTGAATTCTAATACAGGCACTGCTTTTAGCAGGGAAGCCTTAATAAATACACAAAACCACAAATACACTTAACCTGAATATTCATAAAGATATTCTATTTTTATTACTATAGAATACACTAAAAGGTCTAGCCATGCAGTCTAATAATATAGAAAGGTTTCCTGGAAGTGAAAAATTCCAGAAAATGATATCAATTTGTTTCACTATAAAACACAAAACATGTGCCAAAGATTTCAGTCAAAATGCAATACTGGTGGTTGCAGTTTTCTAAACAAGATTGGAGACGGAGGACTCTGCATGCTTGTTTGAAGATTTCATGCCCTTAATCCGGTAATTGATATTGCCATTGATTTGCAGTTCCTTGGCAGCGGAGTGAAGTTTAGCGACAAAGTCAGGTATACCTGAAAGCAGAAATAAAAGAGTTTAGAACAAGTATGAGGAAGATACAGTTGTGGCAATTTGCATACTTTTTAGTGTCAGATCTTTCTGAACTTGGCTAAGTGTTAAGGTTTGGAATTTTAGGTGCACGGGAGATGGTATTGCACATGATGGGATAGTTACACAAATGATCATGATCATGTGATATTTATGACAAAGCACTAAACAGTGCATTTTATGTTTATACACAAATGAATACAGTTCCAAGACATCAATGGGGAGAAGTAATTTCTGCATATGACTTTTGGTCAGTAAGAAGGAATTTGCAGATTCTTTCTTACCCACCCTTGAATAGAATACTTACCCGCACTTGTTAAATAACTGACACAACTCTGTGGAAAATGTGTACGAGGATCATCATAGTAGGTTAGAACATAGTCAAATCCATTCTGAAAAGTACAATGCAAGACAAAAAAGTAAATGATAAGTCAGAATTTCAAAAGGTTTAAGATGTTTTATAATTGTGAGATAGAGGATATGAAGTGGACTTGAACTTCATAGGCTTACATCACTATCTAATGAGCCAATTGTCTGTATCATATGTTCATTGAAATCACAATCACAACCTAGAACACATAGCTCCTTTTGATGAAGTATGCAACAAAAATAAAGAAAACTAATTACTATGAATTGTTTACATTTCACAAAAAATTGTTTGTGCCATATGAGAAGGTCAGTATCAATGACTTGTGTAAAATTTTGTCAAATGGCAAAAAACCATCAAATTGTGAAAATTAGGCAACTTACAGTATATGTTGGGGTTTTTTTGTTTGCAGTGAATTAAATAAAAACAAACCTTTTCAAATGAGCGATGATGTGGTCTTATTACCATCTGTGAAGAATATGTATGCACACGCACATATTTTCCATTCTCAGGCACTTTAGGATGATTGACAGACTTCGACACGAGTAACATTACATTTCTTTTATAATCAATTTTTTGTTGTCTTACATATACATATTCTCTTGAATACATTGGAAACTGAAAGTAATGCATAAAACAATTTGAAACATTAACAATACAGGCAATACATTAATTTGACAGTAGACATCTTGCATGTACCCAATTTACTGTGGCCATCAACAACGCCAGCTAATAGGAGTGTTGCAAGAAATTCTGCTTTCAGGAGGCCAGTAGATTGATGTTTATTGATTTGGGATGTTTCGGAATGGGTGGGTGCTTAATTGAACTTAACCAAAAAACATAAATCCCCCGAAAGTCGAGCGAGTACAGTAGTAAAATAATTAACCACGCATGTTTCACCCTTTGGTTTCACGATGCTTTATTCAGCATGTGCAAGCCCCATAAAAACTTTCCCAGTAAAGTTGCAAAGCATCTCAGTCCGTGGTCTAGAATTCTAAGCATAAAACAAATTAATGTGATTGGGTCAAATGATTTGTGCAGACATGCAGGATACTTACAGGATAGTGCATTATCCAGTGTACAACTTCTGAATCACTTTTAGGATCTTTATCAATAACTTCCAATTTCATTATTAATTTATCCCATACTTTCCTATACTCAATATCCAGTTGAACTGTAAAGAATGCTTTGGGACAGATGTCATCAAAAGAGCCATAAACTGTAATAAAAACAATAACACTTATTCATCATGACAAAGCTAATAACTGCTAAGCGTATTCTGCTGTCTCATTTGTCAGATTACTTTAATTTGGTTCAAAACACTAAACTTGTCTTTCATTTTCTAATGGAATGTTATCAATATAAACTCATCGCAATGAAGTGTTCACATTGACTCAAACAGAAATCCAAAATTGTGACAGCAAACCAAAGGACGTACAGTTATTACTCAGTGATGAACACATGTGCATTCAAGAGCCATAATTAATTAAAAAGTGCTTTTGTTATTGTTTATTTTATTAATTTTGAGTGCTTGTGTTTTTCTTTGTTTCTTTCATTTTTGTTAACCATTATTGTTGGTCAATGGGATGCAAAGAATTTCTAAATTAACAATAAAATAACAACAATAAATTAATATGGTTAGTGGCAAATACAATAGAACACAAGTCAACACATACCTGTGTATTGAAATAATGGAGAATTTGGTACAGGTTTCTTCCACATTTTTAAATGCTCTTTTTCAATAATTTGTTCCCATGCTTCAGTTTTATTCATCGGTATGTTACTATTATTATCACCACTGCCATTACAACTATTTCCATTGGTAGTGTCTTTGTGACATCCATTACCATTATTGTTTTCATCTATTGAGTTCAGTAGGCGCCTAACTTCATCCAAAGAACCAAAACAACTGCAAACAAAAGAATGCATAACTCGTGATGGACTATTTTATAAATTGATATATGTATAGAAGGTGTTAAACATTAGTTCATTATGGCATACATGATATGGGAATACCAGGGATGTCTACACGTAAACATGGGGTCTTTTATCATATGTAACCACCACTGTAGTGGTAGCCTAGACTGGCACAGTCGGGGCGATTAATTTTTTTTTGTAATTTAAATAAAATAAAAAAAAATGTGAAATGGCGGTGTTATCGCGAAAGTGGTAGCCCTGCAATGAAGAACTGAGTTGTCAGGGATAGTAACAATACTAGCGCATCCCTAGACAATTCTATAAAGAGGGCTTGCTTAGTGTCCATATCTTAAATTATGGCAAACAGAAATGTCTGAAAAAGTAGTACCAAGTAGTGGTAGCTTTGCAGTAATGAGCAGTGTTATGAGCAGTATAATAATATAATTTGCACATGTTAGCAATACCATTAATTCAGTTTCTTGCATCCTTAGACAACTTGCAATACGGTACAATAGGTCTGAAAAAGTAGTACCATAGCAACAAAGTAGTGGTATCCAGGCAGTAATTAGCAGTGTTGTCTGAAGATGTAATATACATGTACATGTAC